AAACTATTGGGTTTGGCTATGGAAGAGGGGACTCACCTACGAAATGGAAGGGATAAGAAAAGGAAAGAATCATCTCACTCGCACTCGCAGGATCAATGAGGATCTACTTGGTTAACCTTGAGGATCACTCGGGATGCAAAAGATCCGAGTTTGCCCGGCTCTGGACTAGACTCATTTTTCTTTTGAAGATTATTCATGCCTTTTTTTTATATAATATTAAACATAAAATTACTTTTGTTATTGTTACCTAATATCACAATAGGTACAGGAACTTAATATTTAAGTAATAAACAAAACAAAATAAATCACTTTTATCTTAATTAAGAACAAATTAACTTCTTCTAAACTTAATTCGTCATGTTGAACGCGCCGAACATGACCGAACAGAGCGCGAGAAGTCCCGAACACAGTTTCGGTTTCGGTCGTAGTTTCCGCAGGTTTGCCGCCGAAACCGAAACTAAACCGAAACTCGTTTTTTTGTCGAAACTCGACCGAAATCGAAACCGAAACCGAACTTTCGGTCGGACACTAAATACGTCTCTAAGCAGTCTTAACAGGTGTCCCATTTTCCTTTCTGTCATTTCCTTATTGACTTCCTGGATTTCTGCTCTTTTAATCTTTTTCTGTGCTCGGCGTTCGCCCATATGATCACCTACCTTGTTGTAAGTTGTAAAATTTTTCTCAGACGTCCGAGGCATTAAATCGCACCAGGAGGTGGAGATGTTACGGGAAAAGGTTTACGCAGTATTAGAAGAGTATTGTAGGACCCATCATCCCCGCGAGCCTGGCAGATTTGCGAAATTGTTATTACGATTACCGGGTCTACGTACTATAGGTCTCAAGTGTCTTGAACATTTGTTCTTCTTCAGGATGCTAGGTGACGTCACTATTGACACCTTCCTCACGGAAATGCTAGACAATTCGAACGATTCCTAATTTAATTGAAGTATGAAAATTAAAAGGGGATCGGTTTTTGGTCTTTTTTTTCCTTATCGTGTCTCTCTTCTGTGGTGTTCTATATCATGTAAAATAAATAACATTTGCATGTGTCGCAAATGTACTATTTATAAATATAATATATTCTATATACAGATCATGTATATGTCTATTTAATTGATTGATTAATCAAGATTAATGATTTCATTTAATTACTGCGTAGTAGTGTAAATTTACATAACAGAAATTTTTAAAACGGTAATAGCTGTAGCTATTAATCAATTAATTAACTATTGTAATTATTATCTAATTATGATGATGTATATTTTGTTTTCTATATTTATGGTATGTGCCACCTTCCGGCTTTCGCTTGTTGTCTAGTGCAATAATATTAATATTAATTAATAAGGATTATATGTTGTTAAAATTTTTATTGTCCCATTGTACATTCAATTTTTTTTCTTTTTTGAAGTCAAACCTTTCGGTTGTTAATTATATTAGGTATATTATACATGCATTAGAAAATATTTTGCATAGGTCTCGACTTCAAAAAAAAAAAAATAATAAACGAAGCGGTTTTATTAATTAACTATTACACTTACGTATATACATGTTAATTATTATATTTTTTTTATCGTGTACCTTATCGATTTTTATAGAATGCTGTATGTAGTAAGTTTTAAGGGAATTTTGTCTCGTTTGAAAATGCTAGGTTAGATCTCATTCTACGTTCAGGCTTCGTTGGATACGCAATTTTTGTTCTTAAATTGCTTCTTGTCTGTGTATAAACAAATATCTGTGCGTTATTGAATGTAGATAAAGTATTAAGTGTATTTCAATTATAAGTGGCTGTTAAAATGCCCTCGGTGGTATAGTCCGTTCACATAAAGAAAGGTGCAGCGTGGGCGATGGGCATTAAACGAGTTCTCGGAATATGGCCGGTCGTTTCCCATCAAAGCCCAACCGTAAGCCTCTGGCGCCTTAAATAACTTCCAACAGTTACGATCATTAAGGCAGTCTGCATACATCGATTTGCCATTGTGTACCTTTCTCTAAGTGAACTGACTTAGCAGCACTTTGTTCACAAAAAAGTGTAAATGATAGGTCAGGAAAGTATGAAACCAATTAGTGCTAATTCGTAATTGCAGTGAAGGCCACTGAAAACATAAAGTATAAAGCAGTTTTAGATTGAAGTCGAAAAAAAAAAGAGTTTCGAAAGTCGTTTAGCTTCTGGTGTAACTACAAAAGTTCTTTTGTACTTTATTGGACGAAAGGATAACGAATATAATTACCATTTTAAAAAATCATAGAAGCAAATGTTAGTTTTGGATTTTCAATCTTTTTTTTTAATGTTAATTTAAATTTGCAGGTAATTGTATTTTTTTTTTGTAATATATCGTTTTCGATTGCCTTCAATTGGATTTGGCATCTCTTTGTATTTACGAATTAGAAATATGTATCTTGCGCTTTATTTTCCTGCCTTCTGAATGAAATTCTGCAGTTTGCTTATTTTTTGTTTAACGAATAATTTTGCTAAAAAGTACAAAAAAGCGCTTTGAAAAATTTTTATTGCAAATCTGAATATTATTCATATGTATTTCTATATTAAAAATTTTGATAAATATTGCAGCCGCTTGTATACCTGTTAAGAAGAAGGATACTTAAGTGGCAGCATTAATCACTTTAATCTCTTTTAATATTGTTTTTATTTGGGGGTTTTTGAACTTTGAATTGTATGATAATCGGAAGTACAGAAGTATCTTAACTGTATAGAGTAAATTATAAACACTATTAACTATTTATAATCAAAGGTTTGTGATATATTTCCACAAAACTGAGCTTATAATCTTCTTTGTGTAAACATTGGCTGGCAAATATAACTATAAAAATTTAAAATTTTCATCGATCGTAAGAATTTACAAAAAGCGCGATATTTAGAAAATTGAGTGTTTTTTCTTCAGTGGCCAGTTCTTGTCACGAGTGCAAAGGGAGCTGCAAAGAAGAATTTGACTTCGTTTGTATTTTTTTATTTTATTAATAATCTAGTACGTTTTGTTTTTATTTTATTTTTTTTGCGCGCGGGAAGTGTTCAGTTTTGGCGCGAATCCAATATTCAATGAAGACGGTGGGCAACGTGTTATTAATTATTGAAGAAGTACCTAAGACATTTTCGAAAGTGATTGAAAAGTGCCTGCGTTGGCTTGTAGATTGTTTAAAAAGTTGGCATTTATGTAAACTGTTGAAGCTCAAGATTTTTTATCGTTTTATGATAGGTCCCGTTATTTGCCATAGTAACGTTATCAGTTGTTTTCCAATGACGATTAGGTGGAAATCGTTCGTTGTGTTAAGATATATGATGAAAAAAGGAAAGGAACAAATATTTATGTGTAGGTTGTAGGGCAGCTTCCGTTCTTTTGGTTGTAAATATAGTAGTACTATTAAGTTGGACATTCCACGAAAAAAGGGTTTTTATTAATTAAATACGATCGTAGTGTGTAGTTTCTCTAGCTTTTAATTTTCTCATGTATTATATAAAAAAAATATTTCATAGCTAGTGACACGTCAACATTTTTGTCCTGTTTTTCTACGTACAAATATTATTACCAATACTCTGTTACCAAAACTATTATTTATAATATTCTTTTCTGTTTTGTTGTTATTAGAAATTAGTGTTCAAAAATTCTTTTATAAATTTACTAATGATTTAAATTAATAACGGCTATGCATCATTTCTTTGTTTTCCTTCTTTCTGTGTAATGAATTAAAATTTTTACGTAGAAAATGGTGGTACATGAGTTACTGACGAGAGAATACAATATTAATAAGCGTGTTTGTGTATATGAAAACTAACTGTTGAAATTTTTGAAGATTTTTATTGTTGCAAATGTCTGAATTGTAAAAGCGAGTAATTGTCATTTTATGTAAAACGTACATAGTATTTTTTTGAATAAATTTTTGTTCAAAATAAAAAATAGTTTGCGTTTCTATAATAACAACTCATTTATGCCAATGGATCGATGAATAAAGGAACATCACCGATGATTCAGTATGAGAATTGTTTTCACCATCTCCCTCGCTCTTGTATTTATTATTTTTGGAATTGTGGTCAGGCAATGGAAACAAAACATACATAATTTCAATTTTATAAAAGTGGGACAGAATTGGTTAAATTATTAGAGATTTACCGCCAATCGATGCAGAAATCCAATGTGATGAAGCTTGAACTCTACCAGGTTTTCGTAATATATGGTTCGTAGTTGCAAGAAGGTTTGTTTTTTAGTCTCTATATCTAAATGCTCTTTCATTTTACAGGAACATCATAAAAACTCTGAATACCATATGTTAAGGTGGACTCTTCATATCAGTCCTCTTTTGCTCCTGTATGTACCGTTCTTGGAAAAAGCATAAAAATACATTTTTTTCAACGAATTGGCAAGTAATAACATTAACTAAAGATAACACATACTATATCACTTTTAATAGCGTTTTAATTTAATTAATTTTCGTTTTTCTTATTCACTTCTGCAGATTGACCAACAAATGCAGAGGGAATTGAAGTTAATTTTGATGCTACTAAAATAACCTTTCATCTATCATTTTTTCTTCATTTAATTTTTGATTTCCTATTGACTTTGATTTCCTGCTGACGTGTTCACCTTGCAACTTTATGCATTTAATTTTTGATTGGTGAGAGAATAATTGGAAATTTATTTGAAAACCATAAACATGTCATTCTTCGGTTCGGCGTCTTCTTCACACACTTATAAAACTTTGGAACGTTACATTCTACAGTTAATTAAGGTGAGAATACATGATATAATTAATTTAATTTGCCCCCAACAAGTCCTCTTTGCCTTAGCTTTTTAGTTGTTTTTAAAAGTGTCTTATACATTTAGACATCTTATTTTTTGCTTTTTATTGTATTTTCTTAGAAATTTCGTTTATTTTCTTGTCTTTTTCTTACAGGTATTTTGTTTTTTATAGCATAAATTTTCAAATTTTAGTAATCGCACTTAAGCTGATAGTTAAAACTTTTCTAAATTAATTTTTTGAGCATATTTGCTTAAATGAAGTTGAACTTTGTTAATAATAGTTATAATTAAAAGTAATTTGGGTGGATATAATGGTGATGTGAAGGCTACAGAGGGTTATGGGGGTTTTACTCCCTAATCTTGCATTTAAAAAATAATATGACAGTTTATGTATAATATGATGCATGCGTTTTAATGTATTTTCTTCGAAATTTTATTGGTTTTCTTGTCCTACAAGTATTTTATTTTTAACTAGTTTGTTAGTATTAATGTATTGTTATTTGAAATTCCTATCTGTTGGTGTTAATACGTTGTTTTTATTATAAATGCTATTAGTTTGCAACAATAAATTGAAAAAAAGTATTTTATGTAATTTTGTGTTATCAGTCTTAAAGAGCGATGTAAAGAAATTATACATCTTCTGTACATTAATTATCCTGTTTTTTCTTTCCTAATTCCACCTACCCCTTCAAAAATTTTATTTAAGAACAAAAGGATAGCTAATGTAAATATTTTTTGTTGAAACTTTCTGATAATCCCCGATATTTCTGTTAAAGAATTATAGCACGTCCTTTGTATCTCACGTATCTGAAGCGACATCTCACGACCGATAGTTAAATATTAAATCTAGTTTACAGGTTTCAACTGCATTATCCTAATTCCTGTACATGGGTTGACTTGACCGATAAAAACGTAAAAAACCCCATAAATAATCATATTTTGCCAAAACTAAAGCAAGCGAGAGCTAATTTACATAATTTATTGTTTAATTGTCGATATCAGTTGTCATTTATTGTTGATTAAAGTAAAAAAAATACATGGGTCGATTTGGATCGAAAAAAATGCACAAAATACAATAAAATTTGATAACTTGGTAAAACGAGAGCGTATTTAGTTCATTAATTCAGTAATCTTTAATATTTATTGATAAATTAAACAAAACTTCTCTGCAAGTTCGATTTTCGTTCATATACATGAGTCGTTTTTTACCGGAAAAAAACGTAAAAAACACCGTAAATAATCACTTTTGGGCAAAAATAAAGCAAGCGGGAGCTCTTTAAATCATTTATTGGTTAATCTACATCATCAGTTATCACTTATCGATGAATACAGCAAAAATAATTGGCACAAGTTCGAATTTGGTTCCCAAAAACGATCGACAGGTAGCTATACATGGGTTATTTTTGGGAACTAAAATCGAACACTAGGTCAAATTTTTCTCTTTATTCATTAATAAATGACAACTGATAACGGTAATTAATTAATAATTCATGAGAAGTAGCTGTGGCTAGCTTTATTTTTGCCAAAAAATGATTATTTATGGTGGTTTTACGTTTTTTTTCGTTCATGACCGACCCACGTATAAGAATAAAAATCGAACGAATCGAGTTGAAAATTTTTGATTTCGAACTTGTGCCAATTATTTTTGCTGTATTCATCGATAAGTGATAACTGATGATGTAGATTAACCAATAAATGATATAAAGAGCTCTCGCTTGCTTTATTTTTACCAACAAATTATTGTTTATGGTGTTTTTTACGTTTTTTGGGTTTAAGGTCGAACCACGTATAGGAATGAAAATCGAACTTTGGCAGAATAGTTTTGCTTAATTCTTCAATAATGCACGTCCAATATCAAAGATTAATCAATAAATGATCTAAATGATACCTGATATCAATAAATGAGCTAAATAAATACGTTCTTGTTAGCTTTATCTTTGTTAAGAAATAATATTTTAAAATAAGATAAAATAGAATTTGACAAAAATAAAGCAATCCAGTGTGTAATTACATTGTTTTTTTATGAAATTAAGCAAAAGTAGTTCATCAAATCACATATTTATAGTCAAAAATGAATGGTGAAGGCGCCTGCCATATTACGAAATAATTCCAACGAAACTTTGAAAATTGAAAATATGTATTAGGAGAGCATAAGATGCTTGGGAAATCAGACGATTTACCGCGTGAATTTAGTGTTATTATTATTGTCGACAACCTGGTAGTCATCTGTAATACTGTTGAAAACTGTAAATTAATATATAACAACATTTGACTACCAGCCGCAAGATGTCGCTTCAGTTAAGCTAAATACGAAGGACGTCCTATAATTCTTTAACTGCAATACAAGGGATAACTGGAAAGTTTTAACAGAAAATCGTTAATTCCTCAAATTTAATTCATTGTTTTAATTTGTTATCTAGGAGACTCCCGCATGCTCTATTTTTGTCAAAAAATGATTATTTATGGTTTCTTTACGGTTTTTCTGGTAACAAACGACTAATGTACATTAATTAAAATCGAACTTTTGTTGAAAATTTTTGCTTAATTTATCAATAAATCACGTCTAATATCAAAGATTATTCAATAAATGGTCTAAATATGCTCGCGCTAGTTAAAGGGAGAGTATATTTTGTTTTATAACGTGATTAGTAAAGCTTAGTGTTAACGAGATGACTGTAATTGTTGATCAAAATAAAACGCTTTATTAAGGTATTGATATGTTATTTTTAAATATTTTAACACAAAAGCTAAGCTAAGTATTGTAAACATTTACAATAAATCACATTACATCAACATTAAAGCCTACAATAAGGGAAGGAACATAGGGACAATCCTCTTACATGAAAAATGAAAACGTGGAGTCGTTGCAAAAAAATTGACTGTAATGTTTTCTGTTTCCACTTGAATATGTTAAAAAGTTCTGCACGACAATATCATTTACTAAAATTTCATTAACTATCATGTTATGGAATGAGTTTAAAATGTGAAGTAGTATGTATGTGGAACACGTATGCAGTAATGATTAGATATAACAGGGATAATGCTAATTTATAACTAACAGTCACTAGAATATGTAAGGAATACTGATTATTACTTTTTAAATTATTTAAAATATACACAAATCCACAAATCATTGTACCATTTTGCTGAATAGATGATTTCGAAAAGCATAAATAACAGCACACAACTTTCACTTTAAAATATAAGAGTAGAATTAATACATAGTACGTCAGTAGTTTATATTATTTTTGGTATGAGTTTTTTTATACAAGAAAGTACTTGTTAAAATTAAATACAGATTTGGGAAAAATAACGACTAGGGTTTACTTTATAATTATATACATTTTAAAAACAGTGTTGGCTGTTATTCTTTGTCGAAAGTCATCATTATTTAGATCTGTAAAATGCGGCAATATTGGTTGCAAAGCAGGTAATAGATTGCAAACCAAATAGCAAAACGTACAATGTTCATCAAGACACGGTGCCAAAATATTTTCAGATAGATCTTTTTTGGGAGGTTGATTATAAAATAAATGTTTTCTTGAACTTACCAACAAGTTGGTAAAAACTACGAAGATGATGTTTGAAAGACAGCAAAATATGATCTACATTTGTAGTTAAAACATCACTTCGAAGTTGTTTAATGATTTTGAGGATATAACTTACTTGTATGATTTTAATGTCTTTCATTATTTATTCATCAAACAAAGGAGATCAAATTTAATATAATTACATTCTTCATGGATGAAAAATTGTGTAAAATGATAATTAACTAAAAATTTAAAGAAGGGTCTGTATCTTTCTTGGCTCAGCAGTAAAGAAATAGATTCCTATTTACATTATCACACGTTGCTAAAATCTCGGTAAATGTATTAAAAAGATATTTCAAATAAAAATATTTATATTGACAATCGGGGTCTCACCAAAGCATAATAGATAACACAATAGGAGAAAGATGTCTTTCAACTGAAGAGCAAATGATAAAATAAACAACACAATTTCGGTTTCATTTTTCTTTGCTATTCGATCTAAAAGTTGTATTTGTGATTATGTCCTATTTAAACAGTTAACTTCTGTACACAGTTTATCATCCATTATCATAATGACCCACCACCAAAATTCCCGTCGAATATTTCGGACGAAAATGTTTTGGCACGTCTTTTTTTTATATAATTTTAAACGTTTCGTAATATTANGAACATACCATATTTCTTTTTTATATAATAATAATAATAATAATAATAGTATAACAGAATTATAGCTCTCGTGGCCTCTCTCTGCAAATATACAATAAATTTACAACAACTAACTCGGTATGTACAAATTTATACAAACAAAACATTATTGTACAATAAGCTTACAACTTAACGCTAAGTTAATGTTAATAATAGTAATAATAAATTGTAATTAAATTGTTAACGTTTAATTAACAAAGAATCGACTAGATTTCTATTATGTCAGAAGTTTAATGTTGATTTGTTCTCGGCACTTTTTCGTATTTGATTAATTGTTTTCATATGCATTTATTTCAAAAAAATAAAAATGAATAAGCAACAAAAATCGTCCGGAAGCAGTCCTCTTAATAGAGGGCAGCACCCGTTCTCGTTCGTTCTCCCATTTCCAATTAATTCCATCAAAAAAACAAAAAAATCGTTTTGGAATGCTCAAGCTCGTCTTCTGGCAATTTCTTTCCAACAGTTTCAACATTTACGTGTAGGACAGGTACAAATACGATTACAAGAAGTTGCATGCATACCACGTCGTACGCAAATTGATACATTATTATTTATTATAATAATTATTTTCACAAGACATCAAGAAGCTAAATGGTTTACCAGATTTGATTCGATTGATTGTGTTGGTTGGTTCTGCGACTCGATTATTTTTATTTCTTATATTATCTTAAATTTTAATTCATCGGTTCGTTCGAAAATCCGTATACCTCGAGTACCCTGACTTCGAAGTCACCGCTGGGACATAGGGGTGGATTGTTGAACGTTGAACATCTGTCCGTCTTGCCATATCGAATGTTTTCGTCCAACCATATAGCTTGACCTTCGCTGTAATCAAATTATCCGATTAACATTATTTGCCAGATTAAGATTTATGCTACGTGTACAAACAACACACACACACACACACACGCAACCGCAAATGTAACATGATGCACAAATATCTTTGCAACTACAACAACAGGTTGTCTTCTTTTACGCTATGTAATAATTAGCATCGGTTACTACTTGGCCTATGTTATTTATGTGCCGCCGGTTTATTAATATCGACAATAAAAAAGGAAATTAGATAATCTTTACACAGTCTGGCTGGATTCAATTAAAAAACTGGGCGAGACTTGTTTTTTTTATTTTGATCTCATACAGACACGTATTCCGGCGTAAAACTCGGACTACTCGTGAATATTTTTAAGCTTGTTTTTGTAACAATTATAAAAGCTTTTAAAAAATCCTGAACAAATTGATTGGGAATATAAAAATCCTATATTCCGCCTTCTCTATAAAAGGTTAATATTGNCATATGCTATGAAAATTAATGAAATGTGTTGTTGAAAAACAGTGTTGGCTGTTATTCTTTGTCGAAAGTCATCATTATTTAGATCTGTAAAATGCGGCAATATTGGTTGCAAAGCAGGTAATAGATTGCAAACCAAATAGCAAAACGTACAATGTTCATCAAGACACGGTGCCAAAATATTTTCAGATAGATCTTTTTTGGGAGGTTGATTATAAAATAAATGTTTTCTTGAACTTACCAACAAGTTGGTAAAAACTACGAAGATGATGTTTGAAAGACAGCAAAATATGATCTACATTTGTAGTTAAAACATCACTTCGAAGTTGTTTAATGATTTTGAGGATATAACTTACTTGTATGATTTTAATGTCTTTCATTATTTATTCATCAAACAAAGGAGATCAAATTTAATATAATTACATTCTTCATGGATGAAAAATTGTGTAAAATGATAATTAACTAAAAATTTAAAGAAGGGTCTGTATCTTTCTTGGCTCAGCAGTAAAGAAATAGATTCCTATTTACATTATCACACGTTGCTAAAATCTCGGTAAATGTATTAAAAAGATATTTCAAATAAAAATATTTATATTGACAATCGGGGTCTCACCAAAGCATAATAGATAACACAATAGGAGAAAGATGTCTTTGAACTGAAGAGCAAATGATAAAATAAACAACACAATTTCGGTTTCATTTTTCTTTGCTATTCGATCTAAAAGTTGTATTTGTGATTATGTCCTATTTAAACAGTTAACTTCTGTACACAGTTTATCATCCATTATCATAATGACCCACCACCAAAATTCCCGTCGAATATTTCGGACGAAAATGTTTTGGCACGTCTTTTTTTTATATAATTTTAAACGTTTCGTAATATTAACGTAAACAGTAATAAAGAACATACCATATTTCTTTTTTATATAATAATAATAATAATAATAATAGA